ATCTGCGTTAACTGTGACGCACGCAGACGACCTGGTTTCTGAGCGTAAACCAGGCTTAACTGTAGACTCTCAGGTAGATATGGGTCTAGACTTTGACTAGGCCCTTTTAACCCGTAAACCATCCACTGTATCTCCGTTTCTGAGGTGGTTCTGCTCTGCAGCCTCCACCTGGTTTCCCTCCAGGATTATTTTCCTTCCTGCATAAAGAACATAAAGGAAGATCTTCCTGGTAGCCATCAGACATCAACGCTCAGCAGGAAGTAAACCTAAAGGCTATTTTGTGACAAAGATGATGCAACCTTTGCAGTACTTTTCACAGCAGGACGCTTCCTGAGCCAAAGTCCTGGAGAGTTTGGAGATCTGAGAGCAGCTGACTTCTCAGAAGCAGAACACTGGAAGCAAATGTTCTTCTTCCTCTTTTCCCGTTTCAGGATGGAGACACTGCAGCTCGCTGTACGACATCACTGCAGAGCTCAGAGACGCTCCTGTTTGCTCTGAACAGCAGATTCATCTTTAACTGAAGCAGCAGAGAGCCGCTGACGGCCTCCTTCTCCTGCCTTTTATCCAATCTGAGGAACAATGAGCTGCTCTCCGCTGCTCTTTGTCAGCAGAGAGAACTGTGTTCAGAATCCATTCACATCATTTAGTCTGATAATCAGATTGAAAGCGACATTTTCCATCCAGAAGGTCAGATTCTCTGAGTCAGCAGAACATAAAGGGGACGTTCAGGCGTCTCTTCCTTTCTTCCACTCAGACTGTTTCCATATTTTTGGTCAGACGCTGAATCCACCTGAGTGACACTAATCTCAGGTGCCACTTTGAAGTGCTGGGGGGGGAGCGTTCCTGTTTAAAAGGTTCTTTAAAGCCGATCCTGTTTCCATCGGAGGCCGTTTGTCTCCATGCTTCCTGCATTTATCGCCTGCTCAGCTGGAACCCAACGATGCTGCAGGTGATTTTACTCACCAGTCCTGCAGGTTTCAGACGACCTCCTGCTTCAGAAAACATCGGCTGCTTTCATGCAAACGCTTCGTTCAGTAAATCAATGCAGATCTTTGACCTTATCAGATAAAATAATTGCGCTCTGTGGTCTGAGAACATCTGGACTCAAAGGTCTGGAGACCAGAAGACATTAAAACCGTCTGCAGAGACCGCGTCCTCCCATCCTCCTGTCCTTCTGTCCTCCCGTCCTCCTGTTTTACTGTCCTCCTATCCTCCTGTCCTCCCGTCCTCCTATCCTTCTGTCCTCCCGTCCTCCTGTCCTCCCGTCCTCCCGTCCTCCTGTCCTCCCGTCCTCCTGTCCTCCCATCCTCCTATCCTTCTGTCCTCCTGCCTCCTGTCCTCCTGTCCTTCTGTTCTACCGTCCTCCTGTCCTTCTGTCCTCCTGTTTTACTGTCCTCCCATCCTCCTGTCCTCCCGTCCTCCTGTTCTACTGTCCTCCCATCCTCCTGTCCTCCCGTCCTCCTGTTCTACTGTCCTCCTATCCTCCTGTCCTCCTGTTCTACTGTCCTCCTATCCTCCTGTCCTCCCGTCCTCCTGTTCTACTGTCCTCCCATCCTCCTGTTCTACTGTCCTCCTATCCTCCTGTCCTCCTATCCTTCTGTCCTCCCGTCCTCCTGTCCTTCTGTTCTACCGTCCTCCTGTCCTTCTGTCCTCCTGTTTTACTGTCCTCCCATCCTCCTGTCCTTCTGTCCTCCTGTCCTCCTGTTTTACTGTCCTCCTATCCTCCTGTCCTCCCGTCCTCCTATCCTTCTGTCCTCCCATCCTCCTGTCCTTCTGGTTGGATGGCGGTGTTGTTGTGCCGCCATTGCTGTAGAACTCTGGGCTCAGAGCAGGACACCAACGCTGAGACAATGAGGACAGCTGTTGACCTGAGGT